ACACAGCAGGTTCCTCGTAAGTCACACCTGCAAGGTAAACCCTCTATAGCTTTTCCAGTGATGCACTAGACTCCTCACCCAATCGGGGTTTCTTGGGGGAAAACAAATCAAACTACGCCATAAAACAGCTTGAACATTTTACAAAAGGAGCAGCAAACTTGTATTACGAAATATGGTCTCAAATTTCAGATCATGTCTGACTTATTTTCCTAAAACCAAATCAGACTAGATTAGAATGGTGCCCAAACAAGAGAAAACATTTCTAATTGGATGGTCATTAGGAAATACATTGTGTGCTAATCAGTCAGACCGAATGAGTCCACAGAACACAGAAGCAACGTGACTAAGATGTGGTGAGCACAATTTCCTTCACTGCATGTGACTGGGATATTTTTCTTTATTTTCTCTTTTAAAATTCATGTCCAAGAAATAAACAGCACCCATGATAGTAAACTGGCTACAGGAAGTTGCTGGTGTTCTCTAATGGGCCAACAGTAGTAAGAAGGGAGTAGCAGTATTAGTAATTCTGCTGGGCATACATGAAAATAGGGTAGCATGTAAACATTTGCCAAACATATATATCAAGATGCTTAAAAGATGGTCTTCTCAGAAGATCTTTTCTTCTATTTTACTCATAATGAAATTTTCTTATATTTTAGATGATCAAGACTTAAGAGCTTGAAAAAAATTACTGAGGAAATAGTCAAATGGAAAAACACTGAGTGCTACAATGATCTAAGCCTACTGTTGAAGGGAAGCATGAAAAAGCCAGCATGAGTGGAAAAGGCTTCTATCTATACATGAAGAGAGAGGAATTGAACTTAAGGGTTCAGTCACTGGGGTCAGACGTCAACCAATCCTGTATCTTGCTTTTTCAGGTCGCTGGCTCTGTCTCACTGCAGCACCATGCGGCGAGGGGAAATGCTACCCTGTGGTTTCAAAAAAAGAAGAGAGAACAGGGCTGTGCTAGTCGTGCATACCCGCATGCGTATGAGAGTGTCTGTGTGTGTGTGTTGACAGGGGGTCCTTTATATGTGACTATAAATTCTCATGATGAAGTCATGGCAGAGGTGAGCTTTGTTGATTTTGATGGTGTAGTCATAAAGGCATCAAATAAGCCATGGGGGAAAACACTTAGGTATAGAGATTTCATTAAAATGCCTTTTTTGATGCCTTACTAAATGCAAAAAAAGTTACATCTGTTACTTTAACATCTGTTAATTTCCTTAATTCACCTACAACTGTATGTGTTGGGGACAGGAATTAGGGAGGCAATTCTGCTTTTTCAATTGAGATTTTTGTGTGTCACTTCTCTCCATGAATCTTAGATAGGAAGGGGCACTGGAAGTTGTCTGGTCTAAGATTGCATCTGAGGGGCTGATGGTTTCCATAAATGCACCTACAGTTTCTGCTGGAATCCTCCTACAGAACACATATCACAAGGTTGACAGCAATAATTTAAAACATTTGTTTTCTGTTTGCTTAAAAATCAGACCTCCCATAACTTCTACCTTAGTTTTACTTTCTATACCTTAAACAATGTATGTTAAGACATTCAATGCCAACTTTTCCAACTAACTGGAAGTAGCTATCCTCTCCCCTCCAAATCTAGAAGGGGACAAGTGGAAATTTTTTTATTTAACACGTTCTATTTCTCTAATCATTCTTCATAAGAGGTTTCCAGATCACTCACCATGCTGTAACTCTCTGCTGAAAAAGCTCAAGAGTTCAGTTATTCCATTAAATAGCTACCACTTATTAAGAATGTTATGTTGCAGAAAGGGTTTAAATTAAGCACCTGCTTTAATCTTCACAATAATGGCTTTTTGAGGCAAGTATTTTCACCCCCATTTTTCTGGTCAGGAAACCAAGGTTCAGAAAGCTAAAGTTCCTTGAAATCACATGGGTTACAAATAGATAAATCTGTTTTCGCACCTGGGTCTGGTGGCTCCAAAGAGCGCTTTCCCGTATGAACTCATGAACAAGACGCAGGGGATGGGATCTCTCCGGCCCAGGATCTGGGCACTGGCCACATTCAGGGAAACCACACGCTGCTTTTCCACAGAAGCCACTGTGACCGCATGGAAGTTTCTGACAGCTACACCACACCGCTGGTTAACGCTGAGTTTGTAATCGACTTGAACCCAAAGATTACTTTCACCCAAGCTGTCATTAAGTCTGACCACCCCTTCCCCCAACACATTTACAGAGTGAAGTCTGGCCTCCCGTCCTGCTAAACATTATCCTGCTACTTTGTTTCCATGTCACACACTGTCCACTTCATGAGAAACCCAGATTTTGGCACATGGGCTCTTAGTCACTTAAAAATACTGTTCAGCGATTTGTTATGCGTGTGCCTTCATCCAAGACGTTGATAAAAACTCTGTGTAGAGGAGAGCGAAACCGAAGGACACCTTCCCTAGGGCAATGTTTTTCAACCACCATTTACCTACTATACCCCATGTGCCCTGCCAGCCAAGGTTTTATGTTCCACAGTTTGTATCTAAAGTCCACAGGCACTTTGAATATGCGTTTTTAGCTATATCTTGTTGCCACCTTGAGAACCATATAGCTGATTCACAATCCATTTTTCTTATTCAACCAGTCATTACCATGCCCAAATTTCTCTATTTTCTCCACAGGTATGCTAGTCAGTAGTGACCACATTTTCTTCAACTACCAATGTCTGTTGTAAAACTGAAAATACTCTGCTGGCCAAGGATTTTGTGTCGCAGAAAAAGATTCTTCTATCAACTTTAGGGTGCCTGGGTGGCTCAGTCAGTTAAGCGTCTGCCTTTGGCTCAGGTCATGATTCCAGGGTCCTGGGATTGAGCCCTGTGTGGGGCTCCCTGCTCAGCGAGGAGTCTGCTTCTCCCTCTCCCTCTGCCCCCTGCTCCTGCTTGTGCGCTTTCTCTCTAATAAATAAAATCTTAAAAAAAAAAAAAAGAATCTGTAAACTTTATAAAAAATTATTATAAAAGAAAATAACTGACCAAAATTGCCATGTCACTCAAAATGTTCACAGTGACATTAAAAGTAACACTGAATTATATCCAAAGTTAATTACAACATAAAAATCCTGAACTCTACAAAAAACACAGATTGTATCTATTACATATTTGAAGCATGGGATATAAATTAAGTTTAACATGATCAACATTTACATGTACCTCAGTCAGCCCTGAGGCATTTATTCCATCCACACAAAACACTATAAACTTTCTTCTAGATTCTTTTTAGAAAACTCTGGTAGCCATGACTAGATGACTGCAGGTAATCCTATTTATTCCATTAATAATACAATCAACAGAAAGACTCTCCTCAAAATTAAGAAAAAAGCTTCACTTAGATCAATTTTTCAGAAAGTGGATCCACCCTGGAAAAATACAATCTCTCTCATGGTTACAAAAGTCCTTTAAGCTTCAGAGTAAAACCCAGGTAGGAGTACATTTTCGGATCTCCCAATTTCCAGAATAAATCTCTAAATCAGTAATTGGACACTTTGAACTCAGAAATCAGCCAAAATCAAAGCCAAAAAAATGTAAAAGATGGATCTGTGCATGGCACACCTTAGGCAGGACCCTCAGAACATGCCTTGCCCTCCCTGCAGCAGCCCATCAGTATTTGTCAGGTGACAGGGTGACAAAAATTCTATCGATTAATATAGGATACGGTTAACTTTTAAGAATTTCTTTTCAAAAAATCCTTTTTTCCTCTATGTTCCTGCAAATCTAAAATTAGTAAACCAACCCCATCCCCACCATAAATGACATTATCAACACGAAATGGATTTGAATCTCATGACCCAAGAAAAGGACTGGGTGCAGAACTGCATTATGTCACATAGAACAGGAATGATAAGGGGTTGTAGACAGAGAAAGCAGAGAGGGGTGAATGAGGAACATGGGAAATCAGGCGGGCTTGGTGCTGACGGGGTCTTCGGAGGACTAGAAAGCAGGACAACACATAAACACTGCCTGTGGCACCCGGGAGAGCCACGCAGCACACAGAGCAGAAGAGGTGAACTGTGTAGACATGTGATGGGAGGGGCTGGTGGGAAGGGCTGCGTGATGTCCCCGCGTGATGAAGGGCAGGCAGCTGAAGCAGGAGGAATAAGCTCTTGCAATGAAAACGTTCAATCTGAAGCTGAATCACCTTGCTGAAAGAGCAAGCTGCCCCCTCTGAGCTGTGGGGAGAAGGCGCCGTGGCTCCTGCACACCCAGACCCACTCTTGTGGTTTCAGTTCACGCCCTGTGTGTGTGTTCTCCGTGACATGTGGAGAATCCACCCGTCTCCACTGCTATGGACAGGTTCGTGTTGTTCTCATTTGCTAACTTGGTCTTGCCAAGCATTTCTGACAAAAGTCATTCAACTGCTCCTTCTCTGAGAGGAATTTTAGTTTTCTTTACAAAAAGAACAAAGGATAGTAGACCCCTTTACACTCAGGCTGCAATGCCCACCGTGATGTACATTTAAAAAATTACTCTAAGAGGAGGACATTCACCGTTCAAATGATCCTACCAATCTACCAATGCTATGTACAGAAATTTACAAGTTCATACCAACTAAAAGTTGCAATGATTCAAATACAAAAGATATTAAATAATTTAAAATAGAAAGAGTAAAATTATTTGAATAGAAAAAGTAAAACTACTCAAGTAGAAAAAGTAAATTCATTTAAATGATAGTTCATAAGATATTGAAGAAAAGCCTGATTTTTAAGGCCCCCAGTTTTTTTTTCCTACCATGGAAAGTGTTAGAGATTTTTTTTTTAAATTAAGATCACATTTTTCTTTTGATTGTAACATTTTGGAGACATTATAAGTACTTTTAGTAATTTGATCTCCTGTTAGAGACTTTGGAAAGAATTTTGTATTTAGAAACTGGGTCTGAATAACTTTCCAGAGTTCTGAAAACAAGAACGCATCTTGTATGTCTCATACCAACATTCTCCAGTTCTCAATACCTGGGACAAAAAAGATTTTTAAATATGCACTCACCTCCACGTCACAGGTATATTCTGATCCATCCAGAAGTATCACTTTGCACTGCATGCTTTTAGGCTTTTTGACAATCTTTAATGGAGATCGAGATAGTTTACTGCTAGATGATTTCTGAGAAAGTTTATCGTCTTCCAATTGCTGATATTCGAGCTGTTTTGCAGCCCCAGCAGCGAACTCCCGTTCCTTGTCAGTGACCTGTGAAGAGCAAACAATGAACAGTTTTCACTGCAAGACAGGAAATAAATATTGCATTGCTCAGGCAAGAGCAAAACCCTTCAGACATAGGCTTTCCTATTTCCCAGAGCAGGAGAGATGTCTGCATCAGGAGACTGAATGGACAAGTATGCATACATGGATATTTATAATGCTAATGGTTTCACCTAAACAACTTCTGCCATTTAAATGTACCAACGGGGCTGCATTTCAGTTTGACTTGAGGGTTTAATTTAGAAGCACGGAGTTAGCAAATGCCAAGACTTCACTAAACAAAGGAGGATACAAATGGACTCCTGACATTTGTAAAATGTAAAAGGCGTTAGACAGTACAGGTCTTTAAAATAAATCATTTAGATTTTATCTACTGTACTCTATTTTCTTCATTCACTGGATCCTTCTATATTCTATGACCCACAACACCCCATATACGTATAAGGTATCTTACAAACTTTAAGGCCTAGAGAGCTTCAAGTATTAATCTTCTCAGTAATTTTACAACTGTTACAGCTCTAAATCAATTCAATGAAGCCAGGAGCACTGAAATTCATCACAAAGTAATCCCCTTAATCTGTTTCCCCCCTCACTGTAATGAGCCAGTGTAAGAGCAGATCACATCTGTCCAAAAGCTTTAATCTGCTTTCAAAGCACAACAATGTAGTCCAAGCTAGACTCAGAACTGCAGAATATGTCCTGAGGAACAGTTAATTCTCCCTTGAATCAATAAATACCCTTGGAAATCTCTCTGTGCAACTATTCTCTTTACACCCCCCTGGCTTTATATATGTGTGTGTTTACATACATATATTTCATTGAAGTACAGTTGACACGATATTACAAATAGTTTCACCTGTACAAAATAGTGATTAAACAACTCAATACATTATGCTGTGCTCACCGCAAGCGTAGCTAGCATCTGTCACCATACCCTCTTCTGTTAAATGACCACCAATGGTATTAATGTGCAAATTCAACTCATGGACCAGATTATCATTTCCACTAGTCTGCAAATGCACACTGACAGACCAAAGAAAGACATGTTGCAAAATTCAGTTTAGGCCCCTTGAGTGAGCATGAAATTTCTTCTCTCACAAACATACTATCTTCCTAGTAGCTAAAAGCACATGACCTTGACAATAAAGGTTTATTTAGATTTATCCCTTCAACTTTCCTTTCTTATTAATGGCTACAATTTTATGACACTCTAATCACAAAGTTATCTTCTGGTATATTTATTTTGGATTTTAGGTATGAATTTCTGCTTTTATAAAGTCATTTTCTATCTGGTTTTCCCTCCAAATTATAAATACAGTCCTTTCCTCCACTACTTTACACAGGAATTCAGGGCAAAGTTGTGAGACATTCTGCAGAATAAAAAGACCAATTTGCTGAGTGAAGAGACCATGAAAAAATTGAAAAAACAACTTCAAAGGCCAAAATAGTTGAGAAGGCTAGAGGTAGCTAAAACAAGTAAATAAAAGAAAACCTGCTCTGGCAACTTGGTCCAACTTTTTTTTTTTTTGACTATTAGTTTTTCATATCAAAGTATTAAAATGGTGCTGCAAAAAAGTCAAACAATTCTGGTCTTAAGCTAGTTGAAGAAGTTTAGTAACCTTGGAATTTTTTTTAAGATTTCTTTATTTTACTGAGAGAGAAAGAGAGAGGGAGCGTGCATGAGCAAGCATGGGGAGAGGGGCAGAAGGAGAGAGAGAATCTCAAGCGGATTCCCCACTGAGGGCAGAACAAGACACAGGGCTCAATCTCAGGACCCTGAGATCATGACCTGAGCCGAAATCTAGAGTCGGCCGCCTACCTGAGCTACCCAGGCACCCTGGTAACCTTGGAATTTTATATCATATATTTGTAAGTGCTTATAACTCTTTAGCTCTTTTTTTTTTTAAGATTTATTTATATTAGGGAGAGAGAGTACAAGTGGGGGTAAGGGCAGGAGAGGGGGAGAGAGAATCTCAAGCCCCAAGCCTGGAGGGGTGGGGGCTCGATCTCAGGACCCTAAAATCATGACCTGAGCCAAAACCAAGAGTCAGATGCTTAACCAACTACAGTGCGGTGCCCTAAGACTTTTGCACTTTTAATTCACATTTTCATTTCATTACAGGCAAAGTCAACAGAAGCTACGTTTTTATTTAAATCTCACTACCTGGAATCAACTTTTTCTCTGTATTGAGGAAGATGAAATTTCATTTTTCCTCTAATAAAATAAAAGTATCTGTATGAGACTAAGCTTTCTGGGCTACTTAGAGGTCAACTCCAGACACCCCTGAGACCACCAGTGTTCAAAGGGAGGTGTTGTTTCCAAAACATTTAAAGCACGAACCCATCAATGAGCCTCTCATGCACATATTTTCAACAACTTCAGAAGAGCAGACCAAGGACCTCAAATGAAACATCCATTGTAGTCACATATAATTCATTACAATTTAAAAATATCAGTATCGGGGCACCTGGGTGGCTCAGTCGTTAAGCGTCTGCCTTCGGCTCAGGTCATGATCCCAGGGTCCTGGGATCAAGTCCCGCATCGGGCTCCCTGCTCTGCGGGAAGCCTGCTTCTCCCTCTCCCACTCCCCCTGCTTGTGTTCCTGCTCTCACTGTGTCTCTCTCTGTCAAATAAATAAATAAAATCTTTAAAAAAAAAATCAGTATCAACCCTTTTGGTAAATCCTCTGTTTCACTGAATCCTCATGACAGCTCTGGGAGGTAGGTATCTAGGTCTCCTTACCCTCATTTACACATGGGAGAGAAAAGGACAAAGGGTACAGTCTCCACAAATTTCCTCCATAAAACTAGTACCCTGGAATTCAAATCCAGCCAAGCCCATGTTTTCATCGTCATGGACTACTAAAATGTACTTCATTTCACCTCCAACATAACTGGGCTCCTAGCCTGAATCAAGGAGACAAGAGCAGAAGAACCTGAGAAAACGATCTTTTCTGATCTCTTCATCTTGTGAACAAGGAAGCTGAGGCTCAGAGGCTGAATGTGTTCTTGGAGATCCCTAAAATATCTAGGGAAGAGGCAGGATTAAATAGTTCTCCTGGTTCCGCAGCCAGTTACCTTTCCCTCAAAGGGCTTTAGTATCATTTCTCTCATTTTGTTTCAGACATCTGATTTCCAGAAGATAAAACACATGTATCACGTCTCGGCCCAGAAACTCTTTCTTCTGTACAATTATCTCCCACTCTCACATTTATTTCATTTCAGAGTTAAGAGGAAAGAACGGGGGAAAAAAAAATCCAGTCTAGTAATTTTAAATTGCTGAAGGTTTAAAAACAATCAAAACACCACAATCCTCACATCTCCAAAAAAATAAACGGTGAAGGAAAACCATGATGACAACAATGGCCCCTTAGATTTTGTTTAATAAGCTGGAAGGATAACCTCCAGCTCCCCATCATGAAACATTTTATATCAGACACAGCATCTATTTACAGAACATGAAAATAAATGTTATTTTTAATACTGCTTAAAAGCAGAACATAAATACCATGGGAAAAGAAATAATCAGGTTGTAAACATAGTTTAATGTTATAATAATGTGTTGTGCCTTCCAAAGAATTTCACTAACATGCTGATTTCGTGTCTCTTCTCTCAACATCCTGTACAATTTCTAGCTTGACACATATACTTCCAACCTAGAAAAAGGTCAATCGTTTGCAGGGACTGCCAGATCTGCTTACCATAGCATGAGTTGGTACCCTAACACATATTGATTTCAGTTCGAAGTTTCAAGCCAAAATAATTTAAACATGGATTCATTCAAAGCCCAAGTATAAACCATGCTTTATATTTTGTATGAAAACTTTTAAAAGAAACAGTCACATTACATGTGACAACTTAAGTATGTCTAGATAATGCAGCTGAACATACACGCACATCAGGGAGGGAAAGAGACCCACCTGAACATTCGCTAAAAGTAGCTGGCAACATTAGGATCAGAGTGACCCCTGGGAAGAATCAAAAGAGCTCTAACCCCTAAGCATGAATAAAAGTTAGCCTAATTAAAGCCACTGGTGTGGTGTCTAGCATTCCTGTAAACCCAGTAAAACCAATAACCTGCAGTACAGATTTCAGGGTGGGTGTAAGTGCTTTAATCAAATGAGGGAGTTACCAAGCAAGGTTGTGGAATGTCATTCACTGAAAGTCTTAAAATAGCGTAAATTTCCATCTGCCTGGGACCAAGAGGGGTAAACAGATGACCCCTCATAGTTTCCTCTAGTGCTAAGAGACCAAGGTCAGCCCCGACCCTGGAAAAGGTCAGTAAACATTCCTGAATTGGGTTTCTGGGTGATGCTAGCAGGTGCGGGGGAGCCGGTGGCGGCCTGGGTCCTGGGGCTCACCTCCTTCCTCACAGGGGTGCTGTGCGCCGCGGCCTCGAACTGCTCTAGGGCCTGGTGCTGCTCCTCGCCGCTGGGTTCAGGCCCTGGGCCCTGCGGCGCCCCCGCGTGCCCCTGCGCCCCCGCCGCCTCCTGGGGCTCGGCCTCCTGCTCCGGCTTGGATTCCGAGTCTGAGCCAGATTCGGTCGTCATGGTTGATTGTTCTGCAAACAGAAAATGGCAAGGTCCCATCACTCGGTGTAATTACCTTCGCTAGGCACAAAAACTAGGATGCTACCTATGGTGAAAGGCTGCACAGAACCACAGTAAAAAAAAAAAAAAAAAAAAAGGGGGAAACGTGCATGCAATCCAAATACGGTCCGACTGCACAGCTCTAATAGGCGACTTCCATTTACCACAAAGATGGTTCAAAGTGAACATTTAACTAGAAGCCAAAACTTATTTGTAATGATCACAGGTTTTATTCCTATTAGGTTTTTTGCCATAGATGGCCATAAAATGACATTAAAGTAACGGCCTAATAATTACATAACTTAGACACATTTAATTTCAGAAAAATGAATCTTCCGCATCAGCTGGATCTATATTTTAATCTCTGGGAAAGATGATCTAATAATGGAAGTGGATTTTTTTTTCTCCTTCCCTCTCTCTTCCTATCTCTACCCAGGGCCCCTGCTCCGCCTCTGGAACCCCTGAATCTATCCATTCTTCCATAAGCAAGAGCCCTTCCTCTGCTTTCTCAGAACCCTGTTAGCCCCTTTTGAGTGAACAGTGACAACTACATTAGAGGCTTCCTCGGTGACGTGGGACGGGTCCCACACTGGACAAGCCCTGGGCGGGGCTGGAGGGAGGCTGGGAGCCTCATCTCTCCCTCCTTCACCAGTGAAAAGTCACAGCTTCTTGCTGGCTTCCTCCTGTTTCCCCTGACAGTTGAAAGAGGAGTTTGTCTCGGCTCATAAGGGACTCACACAACAGAGTTTAATATATAATCTTCTCTTACACCTAAAAACACCTTCTAAAATAGAACCGCCACCTTGTAATGGTTTGCTAGTCAAGACATGTAAATATTTTGTGCCTTAGTTTCCACATCTGCCAAATAAGGGAATTGAACCTGACCATATCCAAAGAACTTAGTTTCTGGGGGTTCCTTTCTCCCCCTCCTAATGGGCATGCTGCTATGCTTAAAGCAGTTTTGTGCTCGAAACAGCAAAAGAGGAGCTGTGCCTGCTGCTACCATGGCATTTTAAGTAATTTCTTATCTTAGAGAGATGGTAAATTATCTCAAACCAAATATCCCAGCCTGTCCTATGATTTCCCTTCCTAATTCTAATTTTATGGTAAAAATACAAGGAACAAAGGGCTAGTGTAATACTCTAAGCAAATGATACGCCCGTTAATATAATACAGAATTATGCAAACTACTACTCCATAGTAAAATCACCATTTAGTTCTATCTTCACAGCACACGCTGGGAGTATGTTTAATAACTTGAAGAAGAGGGAACATACAAATACCAATCTATGTTATAAACTAAATGCTACATCCATGTTTCCTATCTAGGGTTCCTTTTTACAATCACCAGCTATTCTTTCTGTTGAATAAAAGACATATCAACTTGGCATATGCTCAGTTGCCCAAAGCATATGTAAATATCAAGACCAAACACTGAACAAGATAGTGATCCAAATAAAAGGAACACCTTTCCTTTTTTCCTTTTACATTTTAGATTTTTAAGCAAATCTTGAAAGTAAATACTATATTCTCTTTTGTATGATTTTACTAGAAAGTGTTAAGTCCAGAGAAAAGACAGAGAGGAGGAAAGGTGGTGTTATGGTGTAATCCAGAGCCTATAATCAAATTCGACCTTTTAAAGGGAGAGGGTCAATTTTTATTTTATTATGTTATGTTAATCACCATTTTTGGTGTTGTGTTCCATGATTCATTATTTGTGTATAACACCCAGTGCTCCATTCAATATGTGCCCTCTTTAATACCCATCACCAGGCTAACCCATACCAGGCTAACCCGCCCTCCCCTCTAGAACCCTCAGTTTGTTTCTCAGAGTCCATAGTCTCTCATGGTTCGTCTCCCCCTCCAATACCCCCCCTTCATTTTTCCCTTCCTACTATCTTCTTTTTTTTTTTAACATATAATGTATTATTTCAGAGGTACAGGTCTGTGATTCAACAGTCTTACACAATTCACAGCACTCACCATAGCACACACCCTCCCCAATGTCTATCACCCAGCCACCCCATCCCTCCCACCCCAACCCCCACTCCAGCAACCCTCAGTTTGTTTCCTGAGATTAAGAATTCCT